TGGTTAAGCTTTTAGGTTTTGAGCAGCACAGTTCAGCTGAGAGCCATTCAGATATGAGGACACAGAGGCTTCCAGTCTGAGGAAACAAGATCAGCTGAGAAGTTGGCTAGGTGAGGTTAGCTGTGGCTTGTTTTGTCTCTCTGATCTTCCAGTATTCACCCCAATAACTGGCCTCAGGTTTGATTTTATTAATAAGAACTTTTAACATTCATGCTACACCAGCCCTATTCTATTGTTATACTTTTAAGTCTGCAGTGATTTGAACATTTCTGATTGACACAAAAGTATGTCCATGTTGGTCAAGTAGATGAGTTAAAGCTGTGTTGTTTCAGTTGTGAGCCTAGCCTTTAATGACTGAGTCATCTCTCTAGCCTTAAAACTGCGTTGTTTTGTTTACCCAGCCCCCCTGCGATTCTGTGGAACCTCAAGGTTGAGAAGCAGGGTTCTCATGAGGTATCCCCCCATCTGTCAATGAGGCAAGGGGCAGCTCAGCTGTCATGTACAGCTGAGATGGATGAGATGGCTAATGAGATTTAGGTCATGATGAAAATCTAGCTCAACAAAACATTTCTCTGTAAATTTTGATATGATTATAATGAATGAATGTTTTCCAATTATGCATTTTAATTACATTGGCTATACATGTGCAGCCAAATTGCTGTTTGGGGCAAAAATAAATGTAATTTAACCAAGCCGCTTTCAATCACACAAAATTGGACAAGAAAAGGAAAACAAACAACTCTGTAATGGCAGGGGGGGTTATTACTTTTTCCTTGGACAAAGTGACTTGTCTCTACTATCATTTCCTGTGACCCATTGTTGGAGGAGGGCATCATGCATAAGTCACCCTTAACTGGTGATAATGAAGAGAGACACTTATGTCTTTTTATTTACCTCAATTATTGAGACTGACAACAATGAATTGTGTAATCTTCATGGAATTCATGTGTTATTAAAGAAATATTATAATTCAGCCCACACTTCAAAACTTTAAACACCTTAATGTCCAAGATCCTACACAGCTTTAAAACGGTACTTTAAAATGTACACGTTTACCAATAGAATAGAGTTAAAGACTTGGTCATAATTCCATACACCTAAAGACAGCTGATATTTTGACAAAGAAGACAAAAATATACACCAGAGGAAAAACAACATCTTTAATGAATGGTGCTGGTCAAACTGGATGTCACCATGTAGAAGAATGAAGATAGATCTATAATATCTATCATTCTGCACAAAACTCAAGTCCAAATGGATCAGGACTTCAATATAAGACCAGATATCCTGAACCTAATAGAAGAGAATGTAGGGAATAGGCTTGGACCCACAGGTGCAGGGAAGGACTTTCTGGACAAGACACCAATAACTCAGGCATTAAGTACAATTAATAAATGGGACCTCATCAAGCTAAAAAACTTCTGTACAGCAAAAATCATCACCATTCGAGGAAAGTGGAAACCTACTGAATGGGAAAAAATATTTACCAGTCATACAACTGATAGAGGGTTAATATCTAGCATATATAAGGAACAATAACAAAAACAAAACAAAACAAAAACCGAATAGCAAGAAAACAAATAACTCAGTTAAAATTGGTATATTGAACAAAACTGAGTTTTCACAACTTGAAACAGAGATGACTAAGACACACTTAAAAATAAAAACTTTCAACAACCTTACCCATCAGGGAAGTACAAATTAAAAACGCTTTGAGATTTCATCTTACACCAACCAGTCAGAATGGCCAAGATAAATAAAACAAATAACACCACATGCCTGTGAGGCTGCAGGGACAGGGGAGCACTCATTTTTCTCTGGTGGGAGTGCAAACTGAAACAGCTCCTCTGGAAATCAGTGTGGAGGGAGGTTCCTCACAAAGCTGAAGATCTATCTACCACAAGATCCTGCTGTACCATCCTTGGGCATAAACCCGAAGGACTCTGCAACTTGCTGCAGAGATATTTGTTTATTCATGTTCATTGCTGAAATTGGAAACAACGTAGATGTCCATCAACTGATGAATGGACAATCGAAATGTGGTATATTAAAGTAAAAATGGAATATTACTTAGCTGTTGAGAAAATGAATATGATCTATATGATCACAGAGGTTAGGTAGCTAGAAAGGGACTGGGGGAAGGGGATCTCCTAAGGAGGGGAAATAGAGTATAAGCAGTGAAGAGACAGTAGGGGAACTAGAATAGGAGGATTCAGTGGGGAGAGGAGTGGGAGGAGAGGGAAGAAGGGGACTATGGGGAGGGACAACTAATATTAAAGGCCTTTTGAAAAATTTAAGTCACCTTTTATGGTTAACAGCCATGTTTAAGTATTCTCTTTAAATATAGATTTTTCTATTTCACTTTCTTATTATAATTTTAATTATTGAGATTTTAATATAATTATATTCTGTCCCCCTTCTCTTTCCTTCTTCCAAACTGCCACAGGCTACCTCCTTTCAATTTCATGGCCTTTATTTCTTTAATTGCTGTTACATATGTATTTTTGTGTGTGCATGTGTGTACTCCTAAATATATAAATGCAACCTGCTCAGTACATATGATATTACTTGAATGTATGTGTTTCCAGGGTGAACATTGGTATTGGATAATCAGTTGGTGTGCTCTGGCTTATTGTTCTAAAGGAAGGAAGGAACCACTAGTCCTACCCATCTAGTACTGATGCCTATGACCTCTATTTCCCTCTCTTAACTGCACTCTTTATTCAGACATTTTCCTATTGGTTTAAACTACGAACTGTTTTCAACTATCAAACAAAACAAGGCTTGTTTAATTCATTTGTTTTGCTTTTTTATTCAGCTACAGATTTGTCGCACTTCTAAATTGCTTCACAGGGTGAGTACAGAGTCCTGCTGATCCGTGCTTATCAATGTTCTACTCAGAGTTCATGGAGAAGCAAGGATTCATTTGGAGAAATGCAGTTATGATTAACATACTAGTTTTTTCAATTGATTTTTACTTTGATTCAACATAATTATTACTATACATCACAAAAACAAACCCATACACAGAGATGAAAAACCCACTTGTGTAAAATCAAGTTTAATAAGAGTCCCACATTTACCCTCCACCCCCTGTACACATGTTTGTACAGAAATGAATTTTTTAGATATTTTGACACTTGTCCCCTCTTTCCCCTTGAGAGGTCATTCTGTGATTCTTCTACTCAACATTGCTGAAATGAAAGAAAATGCCCAAGGTGTAGGAAGCCCAATTCTGCTCATTTGCCATTGAGTGAGTTTCTTGGTCAAAGTTGCTGGTGATTTGAGCTGCTTTTCAAATCTCCACTGATTTGTGTCTTGTTCCTTCCCTCCAGGTAAGCTTGTGTTTCCAAGTACAGTCTTGGCATCCACTGGTGTGAACAGCAGGGAAATGGCAATAGCACAAGGAGATTTAATGAAGCTATGTGGAGAATCTAGAGGAAGCAGAATGTTCCTTGGGAGTCTAACTGTCCAGTAATTCTCAGAAGCCTAGTCAAATCCTGTTGCCATTATATCTGATTCTTCGGAGAAAGAAGACTCATGTAACATGTTCCCCAAACCTGTAGCTTGCCAGAATTAGGACTCAGAAGTCTGCTTTTCTTGTAATAGAGTATGTCCAAACTTCTTTCTCAAGGGAATAGTTAAAATTGTGGATTTTCATTGTCAAAGATCGGATGTTTTCATATGAGTCTTCAGGTTGGTAAAACTGGTAGAAAAGGGGCAGGCTTTGGTAATGTCTCCCTTGCATGTGATGCACAATGCAGGTAGCTGACGTACATGCAAGTATGGGCACCAGCCCACCTTAGTCCTCCTCTGCACAGTCCTGCCCCATTGTCAGCATGCCGTTTCCATTAGTTCTCTCAGCAGAAGGGAAACAAGAGACCTCCTGGTTTGAAAGACAGGATTCTCACAGTAGATGCTCTCAGGGAAAATGAATATGCCTAATTGTTTTTAGATCTCAATTGAACTATTTCAAACTAGATGGCCTCTAACTACAAACACTTTTCTTCCTAGCTGCCTCCTCTCTGGCAACCTTGCCAGACCATCCCAGTCTGGATCTGGTACCTGTCTCTGCCCTTCTCCCTGCCATTGCAATGATCATGCTTTATGGCACGGAACACTTCTCTTACTGGTCCTTACACCTGAAATCCAGCTCTTTGAAGGATCATGTTGTACTCTGCTAGAGCAGATTCCTAGCTCAGCAAAGATTAGATAAATGAATGAACAATATGACATCACACAGTCAGAACTTTGTAAATGATCTGTGGGACTCTGCCCTGTGTGTTACAAGCTGCAAGAATATATTATAGAGATTCAGCTGTGTATAATAAAACTATACCTAGAAAGGTCAAGGAATTTTCCTAGAGGGAAGCCATTTGTCAGAGAATATTTTGTGTTATTCAGCTTTTAATATATCAACTGTTTTCTACTATGAAATTCTTATGTGCTCATATAGTACTAGACTATAAGTCAAATAGTATAACTTCTCAGACCTACTGCTGATCTGAACGAGGTAACACCCCTACAGAGCCTAGGACACAGGTGGACTGTAGATGCAAAGCTTTGTTTCTTGTGCAAATGAATCTCAGACCATCTCTTAGTGGCATCCAGAGCTATTGACTCAAGACAAAAGAGTTTTTGCATAGCCAGGTGCAGCAAAGACAGAAGCAGAATTCCTGGTCTGGTCAGAGAAGAGAACAAGGCAGAGTGTCTGTAGATGGTAAGGCAGACTGGCTCAGGCTGAGGAGTAAGGAGCAAGGAAAAGTTTTGCAGACTGTAGGTGGATTTGAATCAGGTCAGGAGAGGAGAAGAGGAAGGAAAGACGGAGGACAAAGGAACAGAGGACAAAGATAAGCATAAGAGCCTAAGAACTTAATTATTACTAGGGCTATGAGAGGACAGAAAAAGAAGGGACAGAGAGGAACTGAGTGTCAGGACGGAACTGAAGCTGTGTAGACAGAAGTTTGTTACAGAGAAATAAACAGACAAAAGAGCCTGGTGTACATAGATTCTTTTCCTTCACATAATCCCATGCTAGACATAGTGTCTTCCCCAGGACTCTGGGAAGGACTTTCTCAGGGCAGATCTCTGGGAAAATTCTAATGCCTGTGCTAACACTTTAGGCATAATGGACAGTGCAGTATTTCTCAGATGGGCAGCAGAATTGGCAGGTAAGCTTACTGAATAGAACTTATTTTATCAGGTGGAATCAGAGCATGGCTCAGATTTCCTGAATGCCAGTCTGAGGATCATTCTATCTCATTTCTACCTTGCTATCTTTATACACTTGTGAAGTGATTTTCTGAGTAGCAATGCTAACATAATATTTTGTATTGCTAAAGCCTTCTTGACTATTTGACACATTAGAAAGAGAGGCAAAAAGCCAGCATTTCATGTTTTTAATAAAATAAAATATTATATTACTTATTTTCCTGCTTTGTATGTATGTGATATAAGTGTGGGTGTGTGTGAACACATATATGTGTGCAGAAGTCAGAGGTTGACATCTGATGTCTATTTAATAGAGTCTATCGTATCTTCACTACATTGTGTCTTCATTCATACATCTTTGTTATGTCCAGAAATTTTCCATCTACGTAAGCAGATTTGTATGTATGCATTAGTTTTTATATTGATGGGATTGCTTGATATATAATTTATATTGGCTTTGTCTCTCAGTGTTGCATTTTGAAATTTCATTAGACAGCCTGTCAAATGGCACTCATGTCCTCTGTTTACAGTCCCCGTACCACTATGGGGTGGCCTTTCTCTGACTCTGATTATGTCACTTCTTTGCTAAAAATGGAGAACCCTTAATGTTGTATATAAACTAAGTCAGCATTCTGATGAACAAATCAAAGTCTGTAGGGCAATGCCAGTGTGGGGGCAAGTGTGAGTTTCTGAGTGTGCTGACCAGCACAACCTGAGAAGAAGTGAGGCACTCTGGTAAGCCCTTTGTGGTAGGTGCTGGCCAGCCGGCCTCTGCTCAAGTCACATCTCGTGTCCATAAGCTTTCGTTTTCAGGTGTCATAATAACATATCTTTCTCAAAAGCAGGAAAGAAAGCATCCCCTTTTCCTGATGCCTTACAGAGTTGCTAATTACCAGCTTTGTCATTAGTAGAGACAATGTTATAGGCTCTTTATGACTTACAGGAATTTGAACGTCAACACAGTAAAAACCGTGTGATGGTATCCACAGGTGGTTCCACACACAGGTGGAACACTGTGGAGGTGATTAGTTTAGACCAGGTGATGAAGGTAGAGCCCCTATGATGGTGGTATTGTCTGTGTAAAAAGAGGAGGTAATTTCAGCACCTTTTCTGTCATGAATGGACACAAGAAAAACCATGAGAAACTGGCAGTGACCTGAGACTCCCCAGCTCAGAACTATGGGAAGTTTATCTGTTGGAGCCACCTAGTCTATGGCATTAGACTGTAGTATCTTCAGCTTTCCACAGAGGTGGTCAACCACTGTGGAGGGTTAGATCATAGTTACTTATCACTTTACCGATGAAGAGAATGAGCTCGAGGGAAAAAAAAAAAGCCATGTAATTCAGTGATGTATTTGCCTCTATGGCTTTTCAGGTCAATAGACTGCGACATCTTCTTGGAGTTGTGCCCAGTCCTCTGGATTCTGAGGTTAGAATGGAATTCTGGGTATAGAGCTGTCTGGAATGACAAGCAGGACTGTCAGTTATACCGCTTCAGTTCTAAGATGCAGAGGATGCATGATCCAAGTTGGTGCTTGCCGATGCAGTCACAGTAGCTCATGCATTTTACCAGTGAATTCCACCTCTGAAAACTTGAATTTTCTCAGGTAGACAACATTTATAACATCTACTTCATAGAATTGTGATTAAGAATAATTAAGATTTTCATTTATTCACATATTCAATAAATATTGATAGATCAGTGGTACAGGGGATTAAAACCAGGTCCTTGCATACTGTAAGTTCATACCACTGGCTCTATCCCCAGTCCTGCTAATATTCATTAAATGATTATTACATATCACAAACTGTCTGCATCAATGAGGCTATTGTGTGAATCAAACACACCCCTAGTCCTAATGCTGAAAGCTGCCGGGTGACCTGTTCCTTACACAGACAAAAGGGTCAGCTAATACTGCTGACACATTTCTAAACCATTGTTTACTTGCTCTCTCCTTTAACATTTAACTAACATTGCTTCTTAATTATTGGTATGTTCGCATTCTTGAGCATCGCTATCCTTCTCTTGAAATGAAGAAACACATCTATCTTCCCACCCTAGACCTCCCTGTTCACATTCTTCTTAAGCTAAATACTAACAGAGAATTTGGCATGCATTCCATACTATGCTGTTTTAAAAGTCAGCTTTTGAAACTGGCCTGCCCATATGTGAGAGTTTACACATGGTACATAAGGATAAGTCCATCTGATAAAAAGGACTTTGAAAATCTGGTTAAGATTACTTACTTGATGTCAACCAAGCATCTCAGTCTATGTGCCAATTTCGCATGTCTGAGAGTTCTGCCGGGCTCTACCTAGACAGAGCATGCCTAGCAAGAAGAAACTGCATGTCCAAGAAATCAGCTTAGGAGCCTCAATAGAGGGAGTGCCAGCCTGGTGAGGTCCACGTGAGACCTGCCCAGGAATGCGAAGAAAGGTCAGCAAGGTTAGAGGGTAAACACAGCAACACACACATGGTAAGTTCTAGAAGTCTTGCATGCAGGAGCATTTGGCTTCTTGGATTGAGCTACAGATGTCTGTTTCAACAGTGATGAGGCTGGCTGCTCTGATTTATGCTGGAAAAACAGCATGGAATTGGGTCAGCACAGCGCATGACTTTAATATCCTCCATTTGCCAGATAAACTAATTTGGAGAAAAATGAACATGTGAGGAAGAATTATTAAAGTTCTTCTGTGATAACATCTACACACGAATCAAAAAGCCAAGTGACATAGGGTTAGTTTTCATAGTCTAACTGCAAGAGAGCAGAAGCTGGTCTAGCACATGCAATTGTCTGGCTTCAGTCCTGCATATGGCAAGAATCCCAGGCTTCCCCAGAGGAATGCAGAACCTACCTTCCTTCCTTGCAGGCACTGCTGAAGTTCTGACTTGGTTAGGATGTCATGGTGGCAGTTGTGTGGCTGCCAGGTTATTTCTCTCCAGTCACAAGTCCTGTTGTCTGAACAACTAAGGCAAGGCACAATCCACTGGCCTGGAAGACACAGCAAGACTTCATTAGTTTCTGCTTTGTTAGTTTCTGCTGGTGAAATTACACTTTACAAGTATAGGACTCAATGTCACACAATTACAAAAATTAACATGAGAAGACCATTGTTATCTGATAAACCCAGTGGGAAAAATGTATAGCCTCCTGTCAATCAAGCAGAAGAGCAACATGACCACATGTTGTGAAATAATAGTTCATGCTGAAGTCAGAAGTGAGTTCTGTCCCATGAAACTATGTAAGTACAAAGGAAACAAGTGACTGTGTGACTCTCAACCATTAACTTGCTTTTGAACTTCAATAGGACTAAAGATGATTGGGAGTCCTCAGGTTGTCAGTGGGTCACGAACATTCATCAACCTGACACATGAACAGGTTGCCTGTACAATAAGAGACATGTTCCCCATGCTCAAGAAATTGTCAGTAGAAGAGAGATACATCAGTATTTTGAAAATTTGTAATTTTCAAGACTGGTTATTCTGCCTTCATTTAATTGATGGCACTTTGGGTGTGGTTATTTTCATTTTTATAGCTGTGTCTGCTTGGTTTCCTCATAGTTTGGTTGAGGTGAGTAGTCTGTGAAGATTTGGTGTGAGGACGCAGTGAGATAATGTATTTAAATTCAAGTGTAGTGGTAATCTACCTGTTGTTACTGGCAGAGTTTTTCTGATTTTGGATTAAGAAAGAAAAAAATTTAAAGCTGTTTATTTGTTTTGTGGGGGTGCGCTGCAGGTGGGGGTCGCCAGCAACTTTTCAGAGCTGGTTCTCTCCTCCCACCATGCTGAGGCAGCAGGGTCTCATCTGATATTTCCACTGCTGCATGGCTTTCTCCAGGATAGCTGGCTGGCCTGGAAGCTTCTGGAGGATCCCCCTGTCTCCACCCCGCATCTTTCCGTAGGAGTTCCAGGGTTACAGCCCTGCAGCACCAGGCTTTTTACATGGGTCCCAGGGATTCCAGGGTTACAGCCATGCAGCACCAGGCTTTTTACATGGGTCCCAGGGACTCCAGGGTTACAGCCCTGCAGCACCAGGCTTTTTACATGGGTCCCAGGGACTCCAGGGTTACAGCCATGCAGCACCAGGCTTTTTACATGGGTCCCAGGGACTCCAGGGTTACAGCCATGCAGCACCAGGCTTTTTACATGGGTCCCAGGG